CAAATGCTTCGCTCAATTTGGGAAAAGAGATGAAGTGGCCTTCAGAGAACAAGTTATACACAAATGTAATGCCTTTCTCATTCCAAGTTGAGAATGTAGAATCCAAACCGGCAGAGGGAAAGTTATGATTTTCCCAGATAGGAGCGTAGACCAAGGTCATATTTAAGCCAAAGTGTCTTCTGAACTGCCTCCAGATTTTAATTGTTTCATCCACAATTGGGTTTAGTGATTTTACAGCCAAATAACTTTTAGCACTTACTAGTGAGCCTAGCTGTGTTTGGTTGGTGACATATTCCACTGACACACACACATCACCATAGTTTACAGCAGCAGAATCAAAATGGACCCAGTGAAGTATTTTTTGTGTTACAGGCCCAATAATAATAGAAAACGTTGGGAAGCGCAAGTCCAGCAGTATTCTTATGTCTTTGAAGAGCAGCTTTCTTTATTTTATGGAAACCACCTTTCCAAATAAACAAGGTCATACGTTTATCAAGTGATTTAAAAAAGGATTTCTGAATAAAAATAGGAATGTTCTGGAAAAGATGTAAAAATTTAGGCAACACATTCATTTTAACCACATTGACTCTGCCAGCTATAGGTAAAGGAAGCTCTTTCCACCAATCTAGATCTTCTGTACATTTGTCTAGTACAATTTTAAAATTTTTAGTAAAGAGTGAGGGCAAGCCGCGTATCACTTCTACCCCAAGGTATTTAAAAGAGGCTTTGGCTATTTTAAATGGAAAAGTATACAGAGAAGGCGAGATATTTTCTTGTCTCAGAGGAAATATTGTACTTTTACCTATGTTGACCTTTTACCCTGATATTCTTCCAAACTGGTCCAAATAATCAACAATGTGAGGAATAGAAGATTGTGGCTCAGACACATAAAGTAGTAAATCATCTGCATATAAAGACAGCTTATGACATATTTCTCCTCTTTTAATTCCATGAAAGTCTGCAGACTGCCTTAAAGCGATGGCCAAGAGCTCTATAACCAGAGCGAACTGGAGGGGGGACAAAGGGCAGCCTTGGCATGTGCCTCTGCTGAGTGGGAAATAATCAGACTGCTGTCCATTAGTTATGACTGTTGCAACTGGATTGGCATACAGTAGCTTTATCCAGGAAATAAAACCATCTTGAAAACCAAATTTCTTAAGTGTAGCAAACAGAAACTCCCACTCAACCCGGTCAAAAGTTTTCTCTGCATCCAGAGAAATAACTAGTTCATCGCTCTCTCTTTCTGATGTATGGATAATGTTAAGCAATCTTCTGACATTAGCACTAGAGTGCCTCCCTTTGATAAACCCTGTCTGGTCAGCATTTATTATGTGTGGTAACATCTGCTCCTGCCGAGTTGCCAAGATTTTAGCTAAAATGTTGTAGTCCACATTGAGCAGTGAAATTGGACGATATGAGCTACAATGCAGTGGATTTTTTTCTTTTTTCAACAAGACTTTTACTGCAGCTTGCCATAGTGTTGGTGGGAGGCTACCAAAAATCAGTGATTCATTATAGGTCTTTTGCAACAGAGGTGAAAGTTCATTAGCAAATTTCTTATAAAACTCAGAGCAATAGCCGTCAGGACCTGGTGTTGTTCCTGTCCTTAATGATGTGATGGCCTCACGTATTTATGTTATGGAAATTTCAGCATCAAGTGCTAAGTGAACTTCAGGTGGAAGAGTAGGAGATACTAATTTGTAAAAAAAAAAAAAAAAAAAAAAAAATCAATTTGGGGGAGTTTATTATGACCTTCCGATGTATATAAGTTAGTATAAAATAGTAAAAAAAAATTGTTCATCTCTTTATAACTTATCAATGTTGTCTGTTGAGTCTTGTATCTTAGTGATAAGACGAGACGCAGAGGATGTACGAATTTGATGGGCTAGTAGTCTGTTAGCTTTATCCCCATACTCATAGATGTTGTGGCGGGCTTTTAATACTAATTGTGCGGCTCTGTCTGTAGATAATAAGTCATAGTCCGTTTGTAATTGTAGTTTTTCTTTGAAAATGGAGGTGGATGGTGAGACTGAATATTGTCGATCTATTTCCTCAATTGAATATAATAAACCATTTAACTTAGAATTACTAACCTTGTTCATCCTGGAGGAGTAAGCAATTATTTGCCCACGCAGATAGGCCTTGAGGGTTTCCCATAGTGTTACATGACTAATTTCAAAAAATTGATTTGTGTCAAGAAAAAAAATTATTTCAGAAATTATGAATTTCGTGAATTCCTCTTTTGCCAAAAGGACTGAGTTCAATCTCCAGTTGTGTCTCGGCCTAGGACAGTCAGATAATTGTAAACTAAAAGATATAGCTGCATGGTCTGAGACAAATATACCATGGTACTGTATGTGCATGAGTTAACATTTTCCAACAAGTTGTTGTCCATCAAGAAATAATTAATACAAGTGTATGTGTGATGAACACGGGAGAAAAAGGAGAACACCTTCTTATTGGGATTATCAAATATCAGATAAACCAGACCTAATTATAAAGTCATTAATGACTTTAGCAGACTTGAAAAGAGTCTGCGATTTATTGGATGATCTGTCCAGAGTAGAACTGAGAACACAGTTAAAATCACCCCCTATTATAATATTGTGAGTGTGTTGGCTGGGTAATTTAGCAAAAAAGTCACTGTCATCCCAGCTAGGGACATATATGGACATCATAATAATTGGACCACGTATCATAACATAACGCCCTGCAGAATCAGGAATCACCTCCTCTGACTGAAAGGGAATATCCTTATGTATCAGAATTGCTGCACCTCTAGCTCTTGCATTAAACTTGGAATGACAAAGCTGACCATCCCAACTTCTTTTAAGTAGTTTGGTCTGGTTCTGCTTCAAATGTGTTTCCTGCAGGAAAGCAACATCTGTTTTTAGCTGCTTAAGACAAGAGTCCATTTTTTGTCTTTTCACAGCATTGTTAATACCTTTGATATTTAATGAGAAAAAAGCAATAAGCATAACTAAATCCAACATTTTCACAGCCTTGGTGAGCCCTGGCTGCAAACAGCCAAGTTTTAGGATATTACAACTAGGGATGGGGGCGATCCGATCCGATCCAGTATCGGTATCGGCCTCCGATACCAGCATAATTTACGTATGGGATTTTTCCGATCCACCTGCCGCAATTTCCGATCCATGATGCATGTTGGCTTCAAACTATGGAATGGATTTCATGAACGGCGGCGTGTCTCATGAGCCCAGAGTAATAAGACCCTCCTCACATTCAGGAAATCCATTTCATAGTTTGCAGCCAGCTACAACGTGAGGGCAGAGTTAGCAGCACTGTGGCTAACAGCTAACAAACTTTTCATCTAAACATGTTGCTGTGTGGAAGTATTTTACACTAGAAACACCACAAAACAAGACAGTAACGTGCAATGTCTGCAGAGACATAGCGCCACATTAAACCATCGTAAAGTTAGTTTTACGTTGAACGTTTGAGCTCCGTGGCTTCAGCAGGGCGCTACACTTTGCTCAACCCACAATAGGCGACTCGACCCCGGCCAGCCGCGTCCAATCTGCCCCGCTCAGTCTGCCCGTCTCTGAGGAGGGACAGACTTGAGTGCAGCTGCCCCAAATCAGGCTGCCTGCTTCGGATTGAACAAGAAGAAGACATCACTGAAGCCCCGGAGCTCTAATGTTTACAGAGAAGTTGCTAAACTTCATAATTAATGACCAACCACTGTCAGTTGTAGAAAATGAAGGATTTCTCAGTTTGATACTTGTAGACAAGATCTAGTTTACCCTCCAGGAGATATTTATCAGTACAACAGTAGACAATCATAAAAAAACATGATTTGAAAATTATATTTAAAAACATAAACAGCTACATTATAAAGTGATGTAAAATACTAAAAACAGGATCATGTCTGTTGGTTTATGCCATGAACTTAGCAGGTGTTTGAAGCCATTTAACATTTTATTTTATTTTATTTTATTCATTTATTCATTCATTTAAAAGAAACAAAATTAAAAAAAAAATCATCAAAAAGAAAACACTGAATGAAAAGAGTTCAGAAAGAAGAAAATTCTTATATCTGCCCCTTATTTATAAAATATAAAATAACTTTAAACAATCACTTAAATTAATCACTTTAATATCCACTTTAAAACTAGGAATAAAAAGAAACATGTTTTGAGTTAGCAGAATTTAATTTTAACTTTAAAACTTATCCAACATTAATAAAACTTACCTCAAGTTGCCTTTTTGGACATGCATGTATATATTTGTACACATTGTACTTGAGAGCAGATTATTACAGCCTCATATAAAATCAATGATGATCAGGATATTGGAACTGGATTGGCCGATACTCAGATCTAGGCATCAGGATCGGATCGGAAGTAAAAAAAGTGGATCGGTGCATCCCTAGTTACAACACAATTTTTCTGCTAAATTCTTACACATTTAAAAATGTCTTCTTTATTGCTCACCACAAAGGGCAAAGGCGATAATATTTTTGTCTGCGTCGATAAAAGTGATGGTAGCCATCTTCATCGTGATTCAAGATGGCTACCACAGCTAGTAGATATTAGCCAAAGCCCAAGGTCACTTTTGCAGACATTGGGCTAAAATTTGATGTGGTTGTAGCTGAGAGCCGTACACAACACATCCGATTATGATGTCTTGTACTTATGGATGTTCAGTTCCACCCAAACGTTCACAACTCGCCTTCTTCTCTTCATTAAAACATCTCAGTCTAATTCTCTTCAACAAGTGCTTACCTTTTAATTAGATTAGAGCAATTATTTGTTTTAGAAATGCAAACTACAAGATGACTGATTATTTTTTGTCTAAGAAAAATATAAACTTATCTTTAACAACCAGTTTAGTTTATTCTTATAAATGTGTTTAACAAAATTTTGTTTCCTGTTGTTGTTAAAATATTGTTGCTTTGTTTCCAATAAAAAACGAGTGCCAGTATCCATCCCCTCAGAACGACAGATTTTTAAAAGGGAAGTGAAGTGGGCTTTACTCACTCGAGGCAAAGCGTCCTGACTCAGCAGTTCTTGTAAGTTCCTTATGATACTCAGGACTAAAGTGTTGCAGGCGAACGGGTCACACAGGATCATAGACAAGTCTCTGTGAAGCACAGAAACCCTCAGATGATTAAGCCACACCTGGAAGACCTGACATTTTGTGGATAAACTCAGACTACTCTTTGGTTACCCGAGGACCTGCTCATGTCCTTTTTTCACACCGTCCAGGAACCCCTGCAGCTCTCTGGCTCGCTTGCCGTCCACAAACTTCTCACGGATGCAGGCGTCCAAACACCAAGTGAACTGTAGGAGCACAAAGCAGAAAACCGGTTACCACTACCCTAAAACCAGACGGCTGCAGCATCAGCAGAGAGCTGGAGCTCACCTTGTGACAGGGGTCCACGGAGCAGATCTCACTGATGTCCAGGTCATGTAAAGACATCAGCAGCTCTGCTCGCAACGTGCAGTAGTGAATGTTTCGTGTTCGAAGGAAGAGCGTTCGTAAAAACTGCAGCACCATGTCGTACAGCTTCACATTTTTCCCGATCATCTGGGTCAGCTTGGACACCACCTGCAACACAAGGAGGCGACGGAAAGCACAGCACAACCACATGAGTTTGGTTAGGCTTGGACCTTCTCTGATGAAGGTGAGAGGAAGAACAACTTTCTGGGTGCAGTCTGCATGTTCTCTCCGTGCATGCGTGGGTTTTCTCCGGGTACTCCAGTTTCCTCCCACAGACCAAAAACATGCATGTTAGGCTGATTGTAACTCTAAATTGTCCCTAGGAGTGAGTGAGAGAGTGAATGGTTGTTTGTCTCTATGTGTCCCTGTGATGGACTGGAGACCTGTCCAGGGTGTACCCCGCCCCTCACACAGCGACCCCTGTGACCTCTGTGACCCCTGTGACCCAACAAGGAAGAAGTGGGTAAAGATAATAGATGAATGTTGCTTTGCAGTATTATATAAAAACTTAAAAAAAAAAAAAAACAAGGGTTAATTTTACTGAAATAACTTTATTTAGTAAAGTATTCAGTCTCAAAGTATAAAAATAAAAAATATCCTTCTGTTATTTAGATGAAAAAGTCTGTACCAAATATAGATCAATAAATCCACCACAAAAACTAAAGAGAAGGTGAAGTTTTCCAAAATAACTAAATAAAATCAAGCTTAAGATCTGTTGATCATAAATGTAACAACAACAAAAACAAAATAAATAAATAAATAAAAACAAAATGTAACAACCTGCCTTTAGCTTTTTAGCTATATTGCACACGGCTAGCTTAGCATTACACCAGTACCGGTGGGGTGGTTGGGGGTGCGCAGTTCAGTTCAACAGTTTGGCGCGCTCGGTTCTGTTAACAGGGCGGGGCGCTCCACTTGTATAATGGTAGGGGAAACACTGACGTATTGACGTCATGAAATTAGAAAATCATGATATAATTTATTTTCCAGGGCAAGTTTTTTTTTTACCAGTGTTATTGTGAACAATGATATGGCCCAGCCCTCAGAGACTCTCGGTCGGCTCTGAGGAGACTTTGTCAAACCATCAGGCGGCTGAGGAGGAGAAAGCAGCTCTTTACCAACACTGTGTTAAGTGAAGGTGGGGTGCTGTTGACCTCAACCAGTGATGTCGTCGGGCGGTGGAAGGAATACTTCTCAGACCTTCTCAATCCCACCAGCACATCTTCCATGGAGGAAGCTGAGTCAGGGGACTTCGGGATTGGTCTGTCCATAACCGTGGCTGAGGTTGCCGAGGTAGTTAAAAAGCTCTGAGGCAGCAGAGCTCTGGGGGTGGATAAGATTCACCTGATTTCCTTAAGGCTCTGGATGTTGTGGGGCTGTCTTGGTTGACACGCCTTTGCAACATAACATGAACATGGGGGGCAGTGCCACTGGACTGGTAGACTGGCAGATGGTTCCCCTCTTCAAAAAGGGGGACCTGAGGGTGTGCTCCAATTATACAACTTTATTTATAAAGCACTTTAAAACAACACCGTTGGCCAAAGTGCTGTACACTGATAACACATACAAGTATAAAAACCATAAAATCAACTGATACTGTAAAAGAAATGAACTGTTAAAATGATAAAAACAGCAGACAGTAAAAACAATAAAACAAATAAATTTAAAACCGTAAAACCAACATTTCAAGCTGAGTTAAAAGCCAAAGAGAAAAAATGTGTTTTCAGAGAAGGTTTAAAAACAGGAAGTGATGTCAGAGGCAACTCATTCCACAGTTTAGGGGCAGCGACTGAGAATGCTCGGTCACGTCTCAGCCTCCTGTTGGACTTTGGGACGGCCAACAGCAGCTGATCAGCTGACCTGAGAGAGCGTGAACATACGGCTGGAGCAGGTCAGACAGGTACTGTGGGGAGAGACCATGAAGGCATTTGAAATCAAATAAAAGAAGCTTAAAATTAATCCAGAAACAAAATGGGAGCCAGTGTAATGAGTCTAAAACAGGGGTGATGTGTTCTTGTTTTCTGGTACCAGTTAAAAGGCGGGCCAGGTAGCAGCATTCTGAACCAGCTGAAGTCGAGTCAGGAATGACTGGCTCAGACCAACATGAAGTGAATTACAGTAGTCCAGACAAGTTGTGATGAAAGCACGGATTACACTCTCAAAATCATGTTGTGACAGCAATGGTTTCACCTTTACCAGTTGTCTCAGGTGATAAAAACTGGACTTGACCACTGATCGTCCAGCCTCACACAAGGTTAGTTGCTGTCTCAGTCAGATGTTTTGCTTAAGGACCCAGACGGACTTTGGAACCATCACTGGACTTAAACAGGACCTTGGTCTTTTTCTCATTAAAATATAAAAAGTTCTGTGACATCCATGCTCTGACTTCTGTCATACATTCCAGGAGTTGCTTCACAGAGTACTGTTGATCTTGTTTTATGGCACATAATAATAATAATAATAATGTCATCACAATGTCAGCACTGTATGTTTCCATACAATGGCGAAATTAGTCTCTGCATTTAACCCATCCACCACCAGGTGGTGCAGTGGGCAGCTATTGAAAGCGCCCGGGGGACATTTTGGGGATTAGACGTGCTGCCCAGAGACGCCACATGATGTGCAGTGACTGGGGATCGAACCTGGGACTCTCGGGTCCCAAGCCGGCTGCCCTGCCTCTACACCATCTCGGCCCCCTATAATTTGGCTGTCATAAGCATAAAAGTGAAAAGTAACTCCATGTTTCCAGAGAGTATACCGTATTTTCCGCCGTACACGTCACCCCGCCCTATAAGTCGCATCAGTCTATATTTGTCTAATAAAGTGAAAAAATCCATAAATATGTCGCTTCGCCGTATACGTTGCATCTATTATGCGTCACCGCCGACAACCTGGAAATGTGGACCGGTGTTGTGCCGAAAACTGAAGGGCTGCCAAAAGGCGGCCACGGGGGCAAGCACGGGAGGACTGTTAATAAGAATTTAACAAGAAACACTTAAAAACAATTATTTGTTTGCTCGAAATTATATTAAATATGTGTCTCAATCTAACGTTTGCTTAATAAATGTACTTTGAGGGTCAAATCAGCTGTTGTTTTGCTTTCCCGAGTGAGGTAGGCACAGGACACGTGCCACGCCCTCACCGCAGCCTTTTCCCTCTAAGGGTGCTAAAACTAATCCTGAGACTCAGGTATTACCTGCAGCTGATTTTCCAGGACAGTCTAGTTCAAGGCGGTGTTGAGATGATTCACCCAGACTGTTAACTACCTCAGATCCTTGCACCACACCCAAAGTCTCACCTCGTGCCTCGCCCGACCTAGCAGCAGGAATGGGGACGTTTAGCAGACGAGGAAGCACAAGTTAACGGTAGCTCATCTCCTGATTTAGCGTTGCAATTGTTAATCGATCTGGCTTTGTTTAGAGTCTAGGCGCTAGATTCTTGGATGTTGTTTTATAATCAAAAGCTAATAAAACCGTTAAAAACCTTCCGTGCTCCTGTTGTTTCTCTGAACCAAGTTTTCCACTTCCAAGAACAAAAGGGGTGTCGAAATAAGAATCCAGAATTTTACGTTTTGCTTTGCTTTAATCAATAATTTTTGCAGGGGAACAGCGGTATGCACAATAATGATTACATTCGATTACAAAGAGATTACATGACGAATAATATTCACTCCTTAGTCCCTTTCCAGTTGTTGACCTTTCCTGGGCAAGGTAGATTTCCGTCCCTGTGGATGGGCTTGAGGCTGGCCCTGGGACTCCTCTCTGCTCGACCTCGGACGTCTTTTAGTCCGGCTGGCCACGCCCTGACTCAATCAGGAACACAAGTACCTACACAGTTTACCTACTCTCTCTACCTGACCCAAGACATTATTTCTCACTGCGAGGAAGACCCTTCTGCAACTCTGAGCAACCAGATTTATAATATAATTGATATTTCTGCTTGTCAATTCATGCACTGCTACTTTAATTTGGAATAAGGTTTTATTAAGGACTAAGTTTGAGAAACGTACTCTTACCATTTTTCTGACCATAGCAAGAGGCAGATTTCCCCATTCCTCTTGGATGCGGGCCATTTCTGGTCCTCTGGCTGGTCTGAATTTGAAGAAAAGGATTTAGGAATAATCTGGGCTGAGGGTAGATAAATAGTTCCAAAAGAAGCGTATTCCAACGGATTTCACCCTTGTTCTTCTTCAGCTGAGGCAGTCCAACTTGTCCTATTAATCCACAATCGTCTCGTGATCCTCGCAGGTCCCGTTCGTTGCCTCCTCACACGAGTAGTGGTCCCCAAACAGCGGAGTTTTCACAGAAACATCTGTTTATATAGCCTGAGATTTTGACTGACATCTCCAGACCGATCATGCCACCGGGCAAACCCAACCCTTCTGGGTTGGATTTAGGTCTGAATTTACAGGCCTCTATGAGGTTTTGCCAGTCACTCCTCGTGCATATTAAAATCTGGGTGTACTTTGTTCAATTTTGCTTAGTCATTCTTGACTTGTATCTTTCTGATTTGCTCAGAGCTGTTTCTAGGGCTTGTCATTGCGTAATACCTCTGCTTGTGTAACTTTTTCCACTCACACCTTCCTTCTAGAACATTCGTGGCTGTTTAGTTTCCCCGAAGTAAGACTGATCACCCTCCTCATATATTATATCTACCAGGATTATTGAGCATGCATCAGGAGAACAATTATATTTCACATTTCACTTTCCTCCCAGGCTCTGATCGAGGTGGCAGCTTCTGTTTTCTCCTCCCCCGTTTTTTTTCCTTCCTCCTGCTCTGCTCTCTTGTCTGTCTGAAGCGCCTGGGTCTCATCTCCCGAACATAAATTAAGAAGATTATGGATTTGGTATAGTGGGCGTTCAACTCTATTGATAAGATTTATTCATCAAAGCGACAAGGTCCTGGGGAACTGGCATGTCCAGCTGAGACTCACGCTGTGGGGTACGTCATGGATTCGTGGGGAGTGTGGAAGATGATGTGCCTCTCTGTTCTGTCTCAAGAAGATGTTGAAGACGTTTACATATTTGGACTTATGATGGCAAGGACTATGCTTTTTGGCATCGGCGGGCTCTGTTTTATCGACTTTTGAAGAAGACATCGGGAGCAGT